AAAAATTTATGAGTAAACAACTATAATGAAGGACGCCAAAATTATACGTGTCCTTAGGAAGTCTTTTCTGCGCAAGTCTTACTAAACTGGTTTTGTGAACAGCTGAAGTCAAAAGGTCCAAGTCCAGATTATTGAGTAAATAAGAAGAACCTTTCATTATCCGGTGTATAGAATACAATTAGTGAACTTTGTTAGGAAGGTGTTTTACAAGGTCAACAAACCTAAATCTTTTGTTCCAATAGTTACTTCGTCCTTAAGGCTAAATTGTTACCATAGAAACCTAAGTGAAATCTTAAATTTCTTGTACAGTACAAATCAGATGTTTTTCTGGCCTTCTTACACATGTTATCTGGACATATCGTTGTTGTGTGCGCTCGGTTATCTCATTCCAATCTAACATTGGTTTTCCCAAAGGCTGGATATGACACACTTCCAAATATTCATTTAACTTTATTTTTCTGGCAAGTAACGAGGATGTGTCGCTGACATCACAAGATGACGATGTTGTACTTCCAGTGTCTGGAGAGAAGATGCTCGATGTGTCCTCGACTAGTTTGAGCCTGGTCATCTCTTCGACAAGTTCGCCGTATGAGGTACCGGTGTTACTTTCTTCTTCCTAAACAGGAATTTAAACACGATATCATTGTTGTTCTTATGATAAATAGTCAAAAATTATTACGCACTTCGTATTTACCTGCTCTAAGATGATATGCGGCAGAGGTGTGGATACAAATATTTCTTGACTCTTTGGTTCATTACGATCGGTTGATTGTATTTTAATATTCTTTTTCCACTCTGTTGCCAAATCAGCTAAATAACTTTTACAAGTTTTGCATATCGCTGGAATAAAAAGAAGAAAAACAGATTGGTATTCTCTCCTATTCTCTGCTTCCCTCATAAACCAAACTTTATCTCTATTTTATAAACAGCCTTCTACTTCTGAAAACATTAATGATTTATTTGAAGATGTAGAGAATAAATTTTTCTTTGATCCTATAAGAAGATGGGGACAGGAAACAAACTACGCCAATATAATGACAAGTTAGTGGACACACTCAATCTCAAATGCTAAGTAACCGCAACGACGCCTGGGCTCCCTGTGGTAAGAAGGTATGACAAATTCATGCGTGTTTCATTCAGAGTGCGTATAAAGCAGAGGCACGAGGATTATTAGCCCGAGAATCTAGCTTAGTAAACTTTAGAAGAAATCACGTACCTGTTCCTACTGGAATAAGTGTTTTGGTCTCGTTAGAAATAAAACACGATAATAGACTTGTCAATCCACATTGAGCCTTCACAGTTGAGGATTTATGTGCCACAAGTTCATCTGGAACTGAACATTTTGTCTTGTTACACCTCCAGCGGACACCATACAAATCTCGATGTAAGGGGCAAACTGTGATTTTCATGTGGGACTCATCGATGTCAAAAATACCTTAAGAAAAACTGTGTTTTAATTCCAAAGACCAAAATATAAAATGAAATAAAGGTAAAGATTGGTTTTAAAGAAGGTAAAAATTGAAATTGCGTTACCTGCACGGGCAAGAAGTAATTTTGATTCACTTCCAGAAAGACCGGCATCGTCACTAATTTTGTAAAACGAACAATGATTGGATATATCCTTATTGCAATCCTTGATCGTAACACATTCAACAATAGATGGATTATAAGTACTGGGGCCACAAGGACCACCAACTAGCTTTGAGTAGTGACACGACGCCATCAATGAAATCTTCTGGTCCTCTCCTAGGTTTTTAGTCGGTCTTTCTAATGACACGTCAATTTCATTTATTTACAAACAAAACATCGTCAGTGTTTTGAAAACATGATCTAGACTCTTTGTCTCTATAATGCTTTTTCAGTAAACTTTACTGATTTCCTTATTGATTTGACTAAAATACTACGGATTAAACGCCTTTAAAACACTAACTTGGAAAAAAACATATTTGAGAGGTTGTTTCTCAGAAAATTTGACCCTAATACTTTTATGATTAGGAAAAAAAAATTCTCATCTCTGCTGATGGGCTACCTGTGTTTAATTGTAATCCGTTGTCTGTCACGCAACGTTTAAGCACCTCGACGATTCTCTTTTCTGAACCGAATTGTTTGTGAGTTTTAGACGTAACTTTAAATCAAAATTGCAATGATTTGAGTACAACAGCATCTTGTACATGTAGGTAAAGTTAATTACAGTGGAGAATTGTTTGTGCAGTATCGTTGTTTATGCAACATTGGAATGCTACAACTTTGTTCTGAATCGGTATGTTACAGTTTATTTCAAAGTTAACTATCTTCATAATATTTAATCCAAGTCCGAAAATGAGACCTCAGCGTGTCTCGTCATTGATTTCTTAACCATGAAAAGCGTGCTAGGGGTTCTAGGCAACTCGTATCCTGAATTTCATTGCTCTAAAGAAATTATTTCTGAACGAGTTAGCGTGACGTGTTAGTGTTTTGAACTTGAGCCTCTTATCGATTGATCTGTGATAAAATATCCCTTTGATTTTAACCATGAATGTATTAGTCACTCATAACATTTAGGTACAATCCTTAATACTATGTTCCAAAGAGTATTGTTGTTGTATTCTTCATTCTGCGTTGTATTTCTTTTTTTAGTGCGATAATCAACTGTCAGTGCCTTGTACGAGCACGAGGTGACGACATCTCAAAATAGTACCCACATTTTAAGCTCTCACCGGAAGGAGTTTTGCGTGCCGCCAGAAATGTTTTAGTATCTTAAAGACCAATGGTTGGCCTTCAAGATRGTTGTGTTTTTTTGGAAATTCTTTATGTACCACGGGCCATTTGGACATATCGAAGTTGGTRAAAAATCGCCCTCCGCCCCGAAGCCGTAAATGCCATCTCTTTGTTAGCTCAAAATGTCTTTAAATATTTTGAAACCAAAGGATTTTTTACTTGCATTAGAAAGTATGAGGATGGATTTTGATTGTGTGAAACTATAGTTGTAATAAAAGAAAAAGCTAATYGTTGCGAACGCTTCAAAAACCTGTATTTTGACCGGTCCGTTGCAGTCAACGGACGGCTGAAATCCTAAAAAATCATCTTTCCGTAATTTCTCAAAAAATAAAAGGCGCTGGGACTTTTGAATTATATTTTCGAAAATAACTCACCAAAGGTGTTCT